TAGGCTTTCGTTTATAGCCAAGCAATTTGACTGATTTATTTACTTATTTGCCATTAATTTATTTAGTGCTTACTTCAGGCCAGGCACTGAGCACTTCATAAATCTTTATGTATTCAATTCTCTCAACAACACCGTATGGTGGGTACTATTATTATATTCATTTTGGAGATAAACAAACTGAGGAATAGTGAAGTAGCATGTCCTAAGTCACACACCAGATACCAGAGTTAATGTTTTTTCTTTTAATTTTTATTTACTTATTTAGTTTACTTGAAAAAACAGAGAGAGCAAGAGCGAGAGAGAGAGAGAGGCAGGTTTACTGAGATTTCCATCTGCTGGTTAACTCCCTAGATGCCCACAACAGCCGTAGCTGGGCCAACCTTATAGTAAGACCTAGAAATCAGTCTAGGTCTCCCACCTGGGTAGCCGGGTCTCTAGAACTTGAGCCATCACCTGCTGCCTCCCATAGTGTGTGTTAGCAGGAAGCTGGAATTAGGAACAGAGCTGGAACTCAAACCCAGGCATTCCAATATGGGATGCAGACAGCTAAGCTGATACACTCAATACCTACCCTAGAGAGGTAGAATTTTAATCCCAGTAGTGTGGATCTAGAATGCATTCTCTTAACCAATATATTATGTTAATTTTCCCAATTTCATGCTACTTTTTAAAAATGTGTGTCTGTAATTCTTATAGATTTATGTAATTACCTGTAAATTTCCCATAGATTGTGTTAATTGTATATTTCAGATCTTGTACATATTTATTAATTCTAGCTCGGTTGACTTATCCATTTCTCAGAAATGTTTTTTGACTTTTTTTAAAGATTTTTTTTACATATTTATGAAAGGTAGAGTTACAGAGAGAAAGAAACACACAGAAAAATATCTTCTATCTGCTGGTTCACTTCCCAAATGGCAGCAATGGTCAGAACTGGGCTAATCCAAAGCCAGGAACCAAGAGCTTCTTCCATATCTCCCACATGGGTGCAGGGGTCCAAGTACTTGGGCCATCTTCTACTGCTTTCCTAGGCCATCACAGAGAGCTGGATCAGAAGAGGAGCAGCCAGGACACGAACCAGCACCCATATGGGATGCCAGCATTGCAGGCAAAGGCTTATTAGCTCACTATTCCACAGCACTGGCCCCAACATATTTTCAAATAGAGATTGATCAGTTTTTCATTGTAATTCTCCCATTTTTATTTTATGGACATTTTAACATATCTGTTCTTAGTTATTATTTCTCTCTAATAGATCATCTATCTAACAGAGAAAAACTTTTTATAACTATTTTTTAAATAGTCAGATAATGAAATGAACATAAACCTTAGATTCCAAATTACATCATCATTCCACCATGAAATTCACTCTCAGTCACCAACAAAAGAGAAGGACTCTTACACAACACAATTTGAACCTGTAGTTATTTTATTGACTAAAACAGTCAGCTGGGACACGGGAGCCTTCTTCAGAAGAGTGCTATAGATAGCTAAGTGCTATGGATAGCTAAGATAGCTCCAGCTGGCTCTTTTATTATTTAGTGTAGGGTTCAGCTAGTAACATAACAATAAGCAATGTATAGCTGTACTAATCATTGTAAAAAAAATTACAAGCAGGCACAAGCAAGAGGAGATATAAGCATCACATTACATATTTATGGTGGGAAGCAAAAATTCATGTTGCTCCTGGTGATCATGTTCTTGGCTCATTTTCTAGGCTCTTGAAGTATGATAAGGAGTTTTCCTTAAAGTAATACCCAATAATAACCCAATAGCCTTCTGCTTACTATAGCCACCATGTTCCATTTAGGAAGGTGTGCCTTCACAAGGCCTCCTTAGGCTGAAGCAGGACCACAGTCATGTCCAATATTCAGGAGGTGGTGGCCTCACTGTAGACACTTAGACAGTATCCTCTAACTTTCAACTGGTTCATTCCCCAAATGGCTGCAATGGCCCGTGCTGGGCCAGGCCAAAGCAATGAGCCAGGAGCTTCTTCCAGGTCTCCTGCATGGGTGCAAGGGCCCAAGGACTTGGGCCATCATCCACTGCTTTCCCAGGCACATTAGCAGGGAGATGGATCAAAAGCAGAGCAGTTGGGACTCAGACTGGCACCCATATGGGATGCCAGTATTGCAGACAGCGGCTTAACCTACTACACCACAGCACTGGCCCCACATTGAACTTTCTTTAGTTTATGATATTTTAAATATACGTTCAGTCAACAGTCTTGTTAGATCAAGGCCTTTCCTTATGCTTTACTGATTGAAGTACAGCATTGTCTTTTCACCAAAAGTATAGCATCAAATTTTTCCTTTTATTTATTTTCTTTACTTTGGAGGAAAATAAGAACTCAAAGGTAACTTGCAAAATTGTCTGAATGCAGAATTATTCAAGATTTTTAGCCCCTCCCCCATTCTCATTTCTCATCTCATTCAACCTTATTTTTTAATAATTTGAAAATTTTAACTGACCAATATAATTTATATATGTGTATGTGATGTTTTGACACATGATACATTGCATAATGTCCAATCAGAATAAAGATCTCTGTCTTCTCAACTATTTAACATTTCTTTATGTTGAAAACATTCAAAATCCTTTCTTCTAGTTGTTGATACTTTTGTTTACAGAACTATACAGTGTATGATTATCACTTAAAGTCACGCTACAGAGCAATAAGAGCCTAGTGTTACAAGTCTGCTTTCACCATAATTTGCATGGAAACAATCATTTACTTTTTGTACTTATGTTTTATGCATTTACAAAATACTTTATTAAATTTTAGAACACCAAATGTTATGACTCAGACAGCTTTGGAAACAGTATAGCTGATACTGAAAATCCTACAGCTGGTTAGACCAGAGGTAAACTTACTGTTTCAAAAAGGAAATGCAGGATTTTTTTTAAGGTTTATATATTTGAAAGGCAATATATTTATTTGACAGAGAGAGAAACAGGTAGACAGAAGGAAAGAGGGAGAGATATTCCATCCACTGGTTCACTCCCCAAATGGAGCAACAGCCAGGGCTGGGCCAGGCCAACACCAGAAACCAGGAACCCCAGCCCAGTTTTCCATGTGTGGGTGACAGGGACCCAAGTACTTGAACCATCTTCCACAGCTTTCTCGGGCACATTGGCAGGGGGCTGTATCAGAAATAGAGCAGCTAGGACTCCAATATGGCTGCACCACAATGCCAACCCTTTGATCAAGTCAGTTAATATTTAAGTGAGGCTTAAGGGAATTTCTTTGAGAGTTCATATCAGAATATGCTATTCAAGTAAATAAAAGTAAAAATCCTAAGTTATTTTTATATCCCACAAATGTAATTATCTGCAAGTAACTACATATGAGTGAAATTGCAATTATAAGATACCTATAAGGCCGGAGCCGCGGCTCACTAGGCTAATCCTCCGCCTTGCGGCGCCGGCACACTGGGTTCTAGTCCCGGTCAGGGCGCCGGATTCTGTCCCGGTTGCCCCTCTTCCAGGCCAGCTCTCTGCTGTGGCCAGGGAGTGCAGTGGAGGATGGCCCAAGTGCTTGGGCCCTGCACCCCATGGGAGACCAGGATAAGTACCTGGCTCCTGCCATCAGATGAGCGCGGTTCGCTGGCCGCAGCACGCTGGCCGCGGCGGCCATTAGAGGGTGAACCAACGGCAAAGGAAGACCTTTCTCTCTGTCTCTCTCTCTCACTGTCCACTCTGCCTGTCCAAAAAAAAAAGATACCTATAGCAAGCAATATTTATGTCAGAGATGTCATGAATCCATGATACCAAAGCAATTTTTAGGCTTGTGCACCTGAGCTCATCCTGTACCAGAGAGATGGGATTTTTTTTAACTATAAAAATAATTTTTTTAGCAGTAGACATGCTAGAAAAGTTTCTAAAAACAAAATTTTTAAAAGCTGTATTGCTTGATATTCTTGTATTGGTTCTTTTTTTTTTTTAAAGATTTATTTGTTTGTTTGAAAGAGTTACTTAGAGAGGGAGAGAGAGAATGGGGTATCTTCCATCTGCTGGTTCATTCCTATTTGGCCACAACAGCCAGGGATGGGACATGCCAAAGACAAGAGCCAGGAGCTTTTTCCAGGTCTCCCATGTGGGTGGCAGGAGCCCAAGCACTCTTCCACTACTTTTTCCAGGCCATTAGCAGAGACCTGGATCAGAAGAGGAGCAGTCAGGACAGGAACCAGTGTCCATGTGATATGCCAGCGTTGCAGATGGCAGCTTTACCTACTCCACCACAACGCCGGCCCCAAGCTCTCTAATTCTTTGTGATTAGGTTCTTCCCTGCCGCATGTACATCTTTTTTTTTTTTTTTTTAAGATTTATTTATTTATTTGAAAGTCAGAGTTACACACAGAGAAGGAGAGGGAGAGAGAGAGGTCTTCCATCTGCTGGTTCACTACCCAATTGGCCACAACGGCCGGAGCTGCACTGATCCGAAGCCAGGAGCCAGGAGATTCTTCCAGGTCTCCCATGCGGGTGCAGAGGCCCAAGGACTTGGACCATCTTCCACTGCTTTCCCAGGCCATAGCAGGGAACTAGATCCAGAAGTGGAGCAGCTGAGACTCCAACCAGCACCCAGATAGGATGCCGGCACTGCAGGCAGCAGCTTTACCCGCTATGCCACAGCGCCGGCCCCTCCAGGTACATCTTAATATTAATAAATATGTACAAGATTGAACTTTTATAAAGTCTTGCTTTTCTAGCTTATATAGAAATGATAGAATTAGAAGAACCTGAAAGAACATTCATTTTATAGGAGTTTCCTCAAGGTTTTCCAAGTGTTGGACACAACATTTAACTTTTTGAAATATATTACTTGAGAGATCATAAAACCTTTTGGTAGTTTATTGTCTTATTTGTTTGTTTGAAAGATAGGGAAGTATAAAATGTGGGACTGTAATAAAACTCTTTTGGTAGTTTACATTTTTATGCACTACTGACTGAAAGCTCTCCTACTAATTTGCATGTACTGATTTGGACTCTGCCATCCACAGGAGACCTGGATTGATTCCCAGCTCCTGGTTTGGTTTAACCCAGCCACACTTCTTATGATCTTTCGGGGAGTGCTCTAGCAGAGGTGAGATCTGTCTTCATTCCTCTCTTTCTGTCTGTCTGTCTCTCTGCCTTTCAAACAAAGGAACAGTTAATTAATTGATTAAATTATTAGAAAAATAACACAAATATAGTTTAAAAAGAAAAAAGTGGGAAGAAATCTTCCTATGCCCATAGAACAGCACATAAATAGGCATAGAGTTGTGAGCAGATCACACATTTCCAGGAGAGTTAAATGCAGAGAATACCCTGGTGTTTTAGGAGGAATGATGAATAGGCAGTTTTAGGCTTTGAATGATTGAAGAATGGAAGTAATGAAATGTGAAGACTTCTTATTTTATGCTGTAGGTATTCCTTTTTTATTTTAATTCTATGCCTAAGTGTTAAGTTTGTTTGGAAATACAGGCCCACATTTTATACTTCCCTATCTTGTGGTAACTACCACTCAATGCTAAGCATGGCAAGGGCTTAGTATATGCTTACTGGTGAATTGTGATGCATCATTCACTCAACAGATATTTTTGGATCCAGCATTTGTAAGGTTCTGTACTTCATCTTTTGGGAAATAAAAATAAGATGTGATGCAAAGCCTACAAGAGGCTATTGAATCCAAAGCAAAAATAGCAGGAATTTTTGTCTGTTATGATGGCTTCTAAACCCCATGTGCTTATGGAGCTTGCATCCTTGTCAGAGGAGACAGATAATTATAGGATAAATAGTAAACTGTATCAGTTATGATAGATAATGATAAATACTACAGTAGAAAAAATACAAGGGGACAAATTATCAGAAAGGAAAATAGAAGGTAAAGTTCTATAATTTTTCTTACATCAGTTTCTTCAACTCTAGGATAGAAAAAATGAAAGGACGTGACTTGCAGGGTTGTGATGATGCTGAAATGAGTATATCCATGTCTACATAAACTGCTCAGTATAGTTCAGAGAAGATGACGAGAGAAATGTTAGCTAACATTGTTTATACATTTGGCTGAAATCACTTTGGCACTATAGTCATCTTTTCCTCACTGATGGACTTCTTTCATTAAAGGATGTACTTTCGAACGATTTTAAACTGCTTTATATAAGGGTGATACTCCTTCACCCATATCTGTTCATTTTGGCTCCTGCTTCTTAGCACTCAATCTAATATTCCTTTCTTATTGAAGTGAATCATCATTCTTTGATTCCTTTTCTAGAAAACAGTATTTGCTTATCTAGATGTCAGCTCATCATTTTCTATTTCAGGCATGAGGCCGGCACCTATGTCTTCCTGTGGAAAATATTCATTAATGCTTCATCAGTTATCACATATCAAGGTTAAAGGGTCAGAGAAAAGAAGCCTTTATGTTTGCTTACCAACTAAAAATGATGGCAATTTTGAAAATGTTATTAACAGACAGAAATGTAAAATCTCTGATTTTAATCTTTTGGAACTAAGACTGTTTGCAAGGGTTAGGTGATGTGTCAGCCCTCCTAGTAACTACTCTTTATATTACTCTTGTTAGCTATTTACATCCCTAGGTATATTAGATTATTTCAAAAAGTCTGTGGACAAATGGAATTAAAATTGCACATTTGCCATGAAATTTTTCAAGACTGACACCCCTCACCTTAAAAACTAGATTAACTGTGTCTTTGTGCTCACTTAGCATTTTATACATGGTCCTTTCGTAGCCAGTTCCATTCGATGTTATAATTATGTTTCCCATCCTGCATTTCTCTGATAATAAATTTCCTTGAGATGGGAGCTGTGTTTTTTTTCAAGTTTGGTGCCCCAGTATCTGTCATAGTGCCTCACACATAGCTAGTTCCCAATAAATACTCAACACATTAAATACAATTCCTGGGGTAGCTTTAGTATGAGAATTATAGAAATGTACTCATTTAATCTTGCTGATGCTTCCCTTAGCTGCTCCTTTGTCTCTCTTGGCTGCTTTCTGAAGGCATCACTGCTCAAGCATGGTGCCACATCCCATCATGCATATTTACCTGTCCTGCTCCAGCCCCAAATCATTCCTAATAGTCTCATAATAATGTAGTCAGCGGAAGGTAGCCCCAGAAACAGAACAAAACCTTGGACACTAGGTTCTCTATCAGGAAAGACCTAGGAGATGAAGGAGTACTCCGTGGAGAAACTATGATATAGAATATGTGGCCCCTAAATCCTCCAAGTTAAAAGCTTGACTTTGCTAGTGCTCTCTAGAGTGGGGGACCTTTGAAGCCTAACACAGACCCTCTATCCTTAAAAAGATAATTTATATACCAGATGATCTATGTATTTATTTTTGTGTATTTGTTTTCAGTAGCTGAAAGACTTGTACCTGTTCTCCAGGTTACCAACCTAATAATATCAGAATATCTATCCATAAAATCCATCAAATAATCAGAAGAGTGTTCAGTAGCCATGGAAACAGTAAAATGAATTTGACTGTCTGATTAATTTGCCCAGGCTGAGTAGCAGCATTCTAACATAACTGAGAGCAGCAGTACCTCCCTGAAGACCAGAAGATGGAGTAAGGGGTTATAAGGTCTCGGGTACACCTTTCAAAGACCTTCAGAAATATTTTTCTTATTTGCTACAAGAAAATAATTTAAATCCAGGGGGAAAAAATCAGTGGCATTGTTCATATCTTTTTTTTTAATTGTTCATATCTTAATAATAAGTAATAGTACAATTTGTTTTCATAATTCCTTCATTGCAAGATGAATTATGATAATGGTAATGTGATATTGCCAATGATGGTGCTAAGAAAGGAAGACTGTTGAACTCCAGTGAGACTTCTGTGTACCCCTTTATCTCTTATAACTCAGGAATCACTGAACTGTGGGTCAGTTCAATTTTACTGAGATAGTCACCTGTGTGCTTGTGGTTTTAGCTGGCTTATGTCACTCTTACATATACTAGTAATGTGTGGTGGTCTAATGAGAGTTCATCCTCCACATTTTGGAAGAAACTGTGAAGTAGAGGTTAAATGGTCATTTTTTTTAAATGGGTTGTACCTCTTGCCAAGGGCTACAACAAGTCCTTCAACCCTTATCTGAAGGTCCTTTCTGTTCCAGAAGTTGGAAACCCAAATGCCTACAGAGGCCAGGCTGATGGGAATGAAGCAGGAAGCCACTGCAGTGACCTGGAGAGCCAAGTCCTTTCTGGAGGAGCAGCCACTGCTCTATTCCAGATAATTGTTGCAAGGCAGGAATGTTGACCTAGTGTTTCCACATTGTCCAGTTTCTCAGGTAAAGCAGGAAATGCAAATTTTCATGTGAAATCTTTCGATGTAAATACTGTCAATTAATTCACTTACATTATTATTTGAAACCATAGATAAGCCAAACGCTTCTGGAAGTGAGATTTGGTACAAAGTCCTCTGGTTTATAACTGCTCTTATATTTTGCTTATCGATTTGTTAAATTAGAGACTTTATTTTCTACAGGTTTTGCTTTTCTTCAATATGTCTACTTAAATACTTTATGCTTTGTTTTATGATATTGAAACTCTTCCCCTCCAACCTGAGCACATTAGTGTTCCTTAGTTGTTTTATTTTCTCTGCCACCCTCAACATTCTAGATTGCAATCACTCAAATGTTACATGAAGTCTCCTTGAGACACTTGAAATATGATACTGCTAACCATTTATTCCTTTCGTTCCTGATTTGTGAGTTGCATAAACACAATAGAAGATCATTCATTTCATGGGACTTAGTAGGCTCCCTTTGCTAAAATCCACAGGAAGACAGTTCTCCTCCTCCCCAGACACTGATTGGACCTGAGCACTCCTAAAAATTTATTCATACTCAGAGACAAAGTCTTTGGGTGTGTCTTCAGACTAAGGAGTTGTCCTATTTTAACTTTGAGAGGAACCTGATTTTCATGGCTTATAAACAAAAGATTTAAATGTAAGACCCAAGAGTATGAAATTATCAGCGGAAGTACTTGATGATATTCGTCTGGGAAAACATATTTTGGGTACGACCTCAAAAGCAGGGACAACTGAGAAGACAACCAACAGAATGAGGATACAACTTACAGAATGGGAGAAGATATTTGAAAACTATACACCTGCCAAGGGTATATAGTATCTAAACTATGTAAGGAACTCAAAAGCAAAACCAGAATAACCCAATATTAAATTGGACAAAAGACCTGAATAGACATTTCTCAGAAGAAGACATACAAATGGCCTACTAGGTTTATAAAAATACTCACCATCACTATCTATTAGGGAAATGTAAATCAAAAGCACAATGAGGTATCTCCTCCCCCCAATTTAGCATGGCTTTTATCAGAAAGATAAGAGAACAAGTATTGGTGAGAAGGTAGAAAAAAGAGAATCCTTATACACTGTTGGTGGAAATGTAAATCAGCATATCCATTATGGAACAAAGTGTGGAGATGCCTCAAGAAACTAAAAATAGAGCTACCACATGATCCAGCAATCTTGCTTCTAGTTATATTTATCCAAAGGAAATGAAATTGATATGTCAAAGAGATATCTTCTCTCCTACGTTTATTGCAAAACTGTTCACAATAGCTAAGATGTGAAATGAGTCTGAGCATATATCAACTGATGAATGGATAAAGAAAATTGGTATATTTACAAATAGGATACTAGTCAGCCATTTAAAAAGAATGAAATCATGCCTTTTGTGACAGCATGGATGAACTTCAATGGCTTTATGTTAAATGAAATAAGACAGGCAGAGAAAGGTGGTCTCACTTATATATGGAATCTTTAAATATTGATCTTTTACAAGTAGAGAATATAATGGTGGTTACCAGAAACTGGAATGATTAGATGGAAGGGAAGATGGGGAGAAATTGGCCAAAGGATACATAATTACCAAGTAGATAGGAAGAATAAATATCAGGAGATCTCCTGTATAGAAAAGTTACTATAGTTAATGGAAATACTTTGTAATATTGAAAAATGTAAAAATTGTTTTGTACTATATGACCCAAAAAATAACTATGTGAAGTAATTATTTTAGTGAAATCCAAACTTGAGTTAGAATTAGTTAAATCTAACCAATCCGCAATGTATACATACTTTAGATCAGATAAAGACATAGAATGTTATATGTCAATTTAAAAAATAAATAAATTTTAAGTAGACGTAGTAGAGTGAGTGTTTGCACAGCAGTTAAGTCTCTGCTTGGAAAGCTTCTATCTCATATCCAGGTGTCTGGTTTGAATCCCAGCTACCCTTCCTCAAATTCACCTTCCTGCTAACATGCACCCTAGGAGGCAGCAGGCGATGGCTCAAGTAGATGGGTCCCTGCCACCTATGTGGGAGACCTAGATTGAATTCTAGGTTCCTGGCTTCAGTATGGCCCAGTCCTGGCTATTGCGGACATTTGGGGAGTGAACCAGCAGATGGAAGTCTCTTTCTCTCTGTCTCTCCTCCTTTCAAATAAAAAAATAAAATAAATAAATAAAATTTAAAAATCAAATACTCATAGTAATGTAATTTTGAAGGTCATGGGGGTATATGTTGCCTTTATTTGCTACTAATTTCTTCAAGTAAGAATTTGTGTCCACTGCCAAATGAATTGAAGAGTGCTGAACATTTTTGAAGGAAAAGAATATGTGGATATTAGTTGTTTCTACATATAGTCATGTGCTGCATAATAGCAGTTTCATTAAGAATGGACCATGTGGATAGTTGCATCCTCTGAGTACAATGGTGAGGTGGGCATTGTGGTGCAAAGGGTTAAGCCACTACTTGGGACACCAGATTATAGTATCAGAATGCCCATTGGAGTACTGGCTCCTCCATTTCTGATCCAGTTTCCTGCTAATAGAAAGGCAGCAGATGATGGACAAAGTAGTTGGGTCTCTGCCACCACACAGTGGACCCAGATAGAGTTCCATGCTCTTGCCTTCAACATGGCCTAGCCTTGCTGCAACCATCTGGGAAGTAAACCAACAGAAAGATCTCTTTCTCTGTTTCTCCCTCTCTGTCACTCTACCTTTCAAGTAAACAAATCTCTTTTTCAAAAGTAAAATGGAACTGATTAATTCCTATCAGCTACTCACATCATAGCCATTACTCACATATTTCTGGTGATGCTGGTATAACCAAGCCTACTGTACTGCCAGTTCTATGCAAGTATAGCACATAAACTTTTTAGAGAACATAACACTTGATAAGGAAAGCAAACAACTGCTACCTTTTGTATGTTTACTGTTTTTTATTGCTGTTCAAGTACACCTACCCATTAAAAAGATTAGGTTATTGTAAAACAGTATGCAGTCAGCAGCAGCCTCATACAGTCTTGTTTGGGTGACCATACTCTGTGATGTTTGCACAATGATCAAATCATCTCAACCATGCATTTCTCTGACTGTATTATTGTCACTGGGCAATGTGTGATTTATTGCATAACCCGAAGTGGGCACACATGTAATCCACAATGATTTTCTTATAGTACAATTTTAAGAAGAAAACTGTGTGTGTGTGTATGTGTGTGTGTGTATGAGATTTGAACTGCATGTTGTAACTTCTATCTGGAGTAGCCAAAATACTAGCAATGCAAGGATAAGATGTTAAAATTGCCCTTAAACTTGCTTAGTATACTGTTAAATAGAATATGTAAATAAATGCAATTATTTTATTAATATTTCCTATGAGGAATTTCACTATAGTACAGGAAAGCAAAAATAAATAAATAAATAGGTAAAATATGCTGAGGGCCAACATAGAGAAATAAATCAGAAACAATTTTTCCTTCATAATTTATACATTTTATTGATTACTTTAGAGATGTTCTAGTGTGAAGTATTACTGTTCCTTAAAACAGTTTTCAAAGTTTTTTGAAAATATGTGAAGAACATGTATTTGAGAGCTAGTGATTATTCACTCTTTGGCTTTTAAGAAAGGAAGCATAGTAAGTACTTTCTACAAATGCATACAGAGCCTCACTTTCTACTTCTTTATGTTTTTCAAGGGCACAAAGGGAAGCCTTAATTTGCAGTTCTCTGTCTCATCTCCTTTTTCTTTGCAATCATGTGGCATGGCAAGGGCAAACAGAAAATTCAGTAATATGTCATAATTCACATGAAAGAAGAGAACTGGATAATAGATGGGAGAATTATAAGTGGGAATCTAATTTAGACTTAAGGCAATTAAAGACTGGGGAAACCAGGGAAGACCTCTCTGAGAAAGTGACAAGTACACTGAGATCAGTAGGAGCTATTTTAATGAAGAAAAAGAGCTTGGGGATGGGAGTTAGTATTCCAAGTTGAAAAATTTTAGACCCATTAAAAGGGATAGCCTTAATTTTTTCTTTTTAGTATTTAGGTCATCCATGTTAATACAGGGTTCTTTCTGAATCTCTATGTCTTTTTCTCTACTTGGCTAAAACTGAAAGAAATAATAGCATAATACTGACACTAGGTCTGTGATTATTTCTAATAAAAAGCTTCCTTAATTCGTATAAGGATCAGGGAAACATTAATAGCACTTCTATAGATATATAACTTAATTTTTTGGAAATAATATTTTTGTTACTACAGAGCCAATACATTTTTATTAAAGAAGATTTTGAAAATCTGAAGTATCAATGAAGAAAATGTAAGAGAATGTGAGAACATAAAGTAGTCACTGGAAGGATAGTGCTGCTATGTTCGTATAGCTACATAATAGTATTTTTGTATATTAAGATTATAATCATACATGCAGCTTTGTTGTATGTTTTTCCACATAGTATCACAGTACTTTCCAGTGCCATTAAGTTTTCTATAACATGATTTTAATAGGTATATACAAATAATACCAATGTGGATATTTACTATGTGCTACTCACATTAATATTAACTTAACTATTTCTCCCAGAAAAATCCTATGAGATTTTTATCTCCATTTTATAATGAAAACAATGTTTAAACTTTACCACATTTACAAGTTAATAAAGGATATGTGCCAAGATTCAAACCCTAACACTTGGATTCTAAGGCTGGTGCTCTTTTTTTTTTTTTTTTTTTAAGATTTTATTTATTTACTGGAAAGTCAGAGTTACATATATATATATATATATATATATGGAGAGAGAGAGAGAGAGAGAGATCTTCCATCCACTGGTTCACTTCCCATTGGCCGCAGCAGCCGGAGCTGTGCCAATACAAAGCCAGGAGCCAGGAGCTTCTTCCAAGTCTCCCATGCAGACACAGGGGCCCAAGCACTTGGGCCATCTTCTACTGCTTTCCCAGGCCATAGCAGAGAGCTGGATCGGAAGTG